CAGTATTTTGATGCAAAAAAACAAACTCTCCGCTAGAGCTAATTAAATGCTAATAATATGGCACTATATAACAATGAAAATGTTACATAGCAAAATAAATATACACACAACACAATAACATTATACAAGTGGTAACAAAGTGAATCCACAATGTGAGACACTCCAAGAGTGTATCTTGTAACAATGTGTCCAAATACTCCGATAGCTTCCTTTGATCCCTTAAAACCAAAATACTCATGATCTTCTGTGCAAGTAAAAAAATAAAAAAAATAAAAAAAACACAGGTGTTCTGTGAAATTTCCTTGCTACTAAATATTCCACGGTCAACTGTTAGTGGTATTATAACAAAATGGAAGCAACTGGGAACAACGGCAACTAAGCCACGAAGTGGTAGGCCACGTAAAATGACAGAGCCAACTGTCTGCAGGGTCAATAGCTACAGACCTCCAAACTTTGTGTGGCCTTCAGATTGGCACAACAGTGCATAGGGACCTTCATGGAATGGGTTTCCATGGCTGAGCAGCAGCATCCAAGCCTTACATCACCAAGTTCAGTGCAAAGCGTTGGATGCAGTGGTGTAAAGCACGCCGCCACTGTACTCTAGAGAAGTGGAGACAAGTCCTCTGAAGTGATGAATCACGCTTCTCTGTCAGGCAGTCTGATGGACGTGTCTGGGTTTGGCGGTTGCCAGGAGAACGGTACTTGCCCGACTGCATTGTGACAAGTGTAAAGTTTGGTGGAGGGGGGATTATGGTGTGGGATTGTTTTTAAGGGGTTGGGCTTGGCCCCTAAATTCCAGTGAATGGAACTCTTAAGGCATCAGCATACCAAGACATTTTGGACAATTTCATGCTCCCAACTTTGTGAGAACAGTTTGGGGATGGCCCCTTCCGGTTCCAAAATGACTGCACACCAAGCAAGGTTCATAAAGACATGGATGTGCGAGTTTGGGGTGGAGGAACTTGACTGGCCTGCACAGAGTCCTGACCAGATAGAACACCTTTGGGATGAATTAGAGCGGAGACTACGGGCCAGGCTTTCTCGTCCAACATCAGTACCCGACCTCACAAATGCGCTTCTGGAAGAATGGTCAAACATTCCCATAGACACACTCCTAAACCTTATGGACAGCCTTCCCGGAAGAGTTGAAGCTGTTATAGCGGCAAAGGGTGGGCCAACTTAATACTGAACCCTACGGACTAAGACTGGGATGCCATTAAAGTTCATGTGCGTGTAAAGGCAGGTGTCGCAATACTTTTGGCATTATAGTGCATATCCATGAATACATACTTGGGATTTAAATACCCGTTTTTAGAAATTATTACAGATCATGCAGTTCCACCTTACAGTGAGTAGAAATAAGGGGTGTTTTTGATGGGCTCCACACACCTGATGAAGTTGTGAGACGTAACGTGTAAAGTGGAGTTCATCAACAACCCCCAGAAGCTTTCAGAGCATATACACCAGGGCCAGACTGGCCGTAGGGCAAGCCGGGCTCTTGCCCGGCGCGCCGGGTTGAACACAATCAACATGATTGTGTTCGGGCCGGTCCGCCATGCCCGATGGACGGCTCTAAACAGAGCCGGCACTACCACACAGTAGACACTAGAGGGAGCTGGTGGGGGTGGCCAGAAAAACACCGCCTCACCCAGCTCTCTCTACTCTGTGATCTCTCCGAAGCTTGCTGGTGCTGTTCCTGTCCTGGAGGAGATATTTACATTTGAATGGGCTGTGGTGATTTGCATTTCAATAAGTCACAACCTATTCATATGTAAATATTGCAGCTAATTAATATGCAAATCAATGCGTCCCCTGCCCTGCTAAGTAAGAAAAAACTGCCTGAAGACTGCAAGAACAAGGTACGTTTAAGCATGTGTATGGTGTATACGTTTGTTACATTGGCGGTCATTGTGAACACTTTTGTTACATTGGCGGTCAGTGCCAATAGTTTTGTTACATTGGCAGCCGACAGGGCCATCGGGCATACCGGGCACTTTCCCGGCTTCTCCCCTCCCCCGCACCCTTCAGGGGCCAGCAGCTTGGGCACAGGGGCCGGGACGGGCCGAACATTAGGCTGATTGTGTTCGGCCCGTCCCCTATGCCCGAAGCTGCTGGCCGCCGGAGGGGGCGGGGGCAGGGGGGA